ACGATCATGTGACACTGAAGACTGGAGTAATGGCTGCTGAAAATTTGGCTTTACCAAATCGTTATAGTTATTGTAAATTGTAATAATATTTCACAATATTACAGTTTTTTATGTGTTTGGGTCGGTCATTAAATAAAAAATTGCTGTCAATGATTGAAGGACGTCAAACAAAGAGGAAGAAATTGAAGTTGATTAAATGGCTCCAGAAAAAAAAATTGCTTAAAGCAAAAATAAAGTGCAATTTATGCCAACATACAATGAAGCTGACTCATAAACCCAACAAAGCAGACAACTATGTTTGGTAAGTATTATTATTATTATTATTATTATTTAAACTAATTTTTTGACCAGAGCTTGCTTGCTTAAATTATCTTTTTAATAATTCATAATGTTATTATTTTTCAATATATTATTATTAATTTTACATGTCTGCTGTGGTATTAGGAAAATTTAAACAAATATAACACATGGTCTTACTCACTAGAATCTTTTATTACGTTTAAAGGTCTTGTACACAGAAGAGACATAAGGGAAGATTCAAGTCAGTGAGGTCTGAATCACTTTTTGCCAAGTCAAAGTGTAATTTATTCTCCTGGATGTAGTTCATATTGAGGAAAACAAAAAAACATAAAAAAAAAAAAAAAAAAAAAAAAAAAAAAAAAATCTTCTGAAATACATACTTTAGATTTTAGCACAATGTAGTCTATCCTAAACATCTCCAGTCTGTATACAGCATTTTGAATTCCTGTCAGACTGGTTAGTTATTGATATCACGATCAAAATGAATGCTAAATCCAGCATCAGCTGACATGGCGCCCATGTTGGCACTGATCTCTCATGTATTACTTTATTTTAGAAATATATTGTGCATTTGCTACCTTTTAGATATCTTTTGGCATACCTGTGGAAAAAGCTATACCCAAGCAGGTGGTGAAGCAGGTAATGGCAATGATGTCATCAACGCTGCATGCTGCCATGAGAAGAGTAGGTATACCCTGCTCTAAACCGTATCCTTCCTTATGCAAAAGCAGCATTGACGGAACCACAACAGCAGGAGAAACGGCCCCAAGAACAAACCTACAGAGCAAAAAACGGCAGCAATTAGGTTGGTAGCAGCAGACGTTTCAGAGAGGTTCTTGTCTTATCAAAATCAGTGGTTTACCCTAAAATAAAGCCCCAGACCCATGGAAGACCCAATATTAAATAGGAGACCACAGCCATAGTGGTTGCCTCGCAGGTGAGAGGGAACATGGACAAACGCAAACACACGGCTTTCAGCTTCTTTAGAGCCTGAAATACACATTAAAGCAATATATTAGGACAACATTTATTTGAACAAATTATTCATACTTTACAATCTTCAGTTAAGTGAAAAGCCTTCATGAAATGAAACTGGATATCAACAAACAATATGGTGTTTGGCTGAAAGAGAATTCTAAAGAGCATGAAGGCACATCCTCTCGGGTTAGCAGCAATGTTTTTGGTGTACCTCTCCAGGGGCCGGTGGGGTTTCATACCTTGCCGTCTAATTCCAGCCCAGCCTTGACCAGAATGACACCCAGTGCAATGTTCCTCAGAGAAGCAGACCATCTAACATCAATGTAAACTGCATCTGTCACCACAGGGATGTTTCGGAGGATAAACCCTGCCAGCAGCATGCCTGCGGACCCACGCAGAGAAAACAACAGAACTGAATAACACAAACAGAAACCCCATAGTTATTCATTACAGTTCTCACACTGACAATGAAACTGACCACTCTGAGGAAAAAAAGAAAAAAAAATGAAGATATAACAGAGGCAGTTTATCCTTGAGCTGTGGGGAAAATTGAATTATACACCACCGTTCAAAAGTTTGGAGGCGGTAAGACTTTTTAAATGTTTTTGAAAGACGTCTCTTATGCCCATCAAGGCTGCATTTATTTGATCATATAAAATGCAATATTACTGCATTAGAAAATACAGCAACATTGTAAAATGTTACAATTTAAAGTGCCTCTATTATGCCATTTCCAATACTGCCTTTCATGCAGTGTGTAATGTAGCTGTATGTGAATGTAAACGATCTGCAAAGTTGTAAAGCTGAAAGTGCACGATAAATAAAGTTATTGTCTCCCAAAATAAAGAATTGACTCTGAACAGCTGAAACAAGTCGTTAGTAAATCGAATCCCACTTCTGTGACGGCTACACGTCACGGCGTAACACATTTGCATAATGCGCACCTATGTTCCACGTTGGCCGGCCGCGAATAACTTGACCCCGCTCACAAACACGTCATTCTACTGACGACTGCTTCTCTAATCTCGGGGAGTTCAACGCGGGATTCACAAAAGGCTTGCTGTTGAAAGATGGATCAGTATCCTGTTTATTTGGACCAGCTGCTCCACTGAATCACAACCTGTAAGTATGATAAATAATAGATGCTTATATTTTCTATAGAGTGCTCAAAATACAGAACTATTGAAATAGGCGTATCGTTTCTGACACGCGCTGTGACCCATTGACCAATCACAACAGACAAGGCCATCAGACCAAACAGAGCAGAGCAGGCTCACGGAAAGGAGGGGTTTAGAGAGACTGAATCTTTGAACTGCTTCGAACGAATCGTTTGAGAATCGCTGGAAAATGAGGTGATATTAAATGCATATTTTGAGAAAACGAAAGCGTTTTTTGACCTTGCATGCATGTAATCCTATTGTACGAGACTCCCAAAACAATATTAGTAACCGTAAAAATGGCATAATAGGGGCACTTTAAAATAACTGTTTTCAATTTTAATACATTTTAAAATTCTATTTATTCCTGTGATGCTAATATGCAGATTTGGTGGTCAAGAAACGTTTTTCTTATTGTCAATGTTGAAAACATTTTTTTTTTTGATGAACAAAGTTCAAAAGAATAGCATTTATTTGAAATAGAAATCCCTGTAACAATAAAAATTGGCTTTACTGTTAATCATTGTCATTGCTGAATAAAAATATAAATTACAAAAAAAAAAATTCTTACTAACCCCAAATGTTTGAACAGTTGAGTAAATTAGTATCAAATCAATTTAACACTTGCTATGAAGTAGAAGTTCAAAATTAAGGTTCTTGTTGAAGTTTCCATCAGAATGACTTCATAATTTGGGCTATTTTTTGTATTCATTACAGAAACAGTATAATGGTTATATATTTTTAAACAAAAGGTAGAATACAGTATGTACTGTGCCATACGCACTGCATTCCATCCCTAACGGAGTCGTTATTTTCTTAAGGTGAGGTCACCTTTCCCATTTTACTGAAATTTCATGGGCGATAGCAATCAAAAAAGTTCAACATGCAGATTTCGCTCAAGTTCGAGTTAGTCACATCACATGAACTCGCCATGCTGACCAACAGAATACTGTGCTGTGTGCAAGCGTTGCTTTATGAATCACTACATTATTAACAACAGACAACAACGCTTTTTTCAGACAACAACGCTGGTCAACAACACCTTATTGTTTTCAGAAATTGCTCATACCAAGTAGTGGAGGTAATGGTGGCACGTTCGGGAATCGTATGCGTCCAAACAGCTTTCCCCCGGCTACAGAACAAATAAACAAGGTCACGATGCCAAAAAGGTTGCCGCCAGGAAGACATTCCTTCTCTGTAATGGACCACACAACCCCAAAGAGCACTGCGGCCATGGACACTACAAAGGGGACAATAACAAACAGATACTGTGTTCACAGGAATAAATTACATTTTAAAATATATTAGGATTAAAAAAAACAGCTATATTAAATTGTAGTAACATTTCATAATATTACTGTATTTTATACCAAATAAATGCAGTCTTGGTGAGCAGAAGAGACTTCTTTGAAAACCTTAATAAATCTTACCAACCTCAAACATTTGAAAGGTAGTGTAATTTCTATCATCAGGTTTTGGAAAATCATTGCCCCTTTTCTAACCTTTGGTGATAATGGTAGCCAGCAGGCCTCTGGGTGGACACGGGCATAGTCTCCGCAGCCATGGGCAGCATTCGTACGGAGGGTCTGTGTTAGTACAAGCGTCAACTGAAGACACCAGTCGAGGGACATAAATTGTCTCTTCGGTCATACTCGGACTGGGGCTCTCGGAGCGCTTTGGAACCACCAGGACTGTCTGACTGACAGTAAGGTGATGCTGTTGGAGAAAAAGAAGAGTGAAGAGAGGAGCAGTGATCTTTGCAGCAAAATCTAAATTTGTAAATGTTTTTGTTTTTTTTCCAGTGCAGCTGTAGCATAAAATACATATTTCTTTATGATGTATTTATACCTATTGTTTTTCACATAAACCTGGATGTAAACAAAGGAAAGAAATAAAATTAATGAAATAACTAAGATTTTTTTAATGTTCTTGAAGTCTCTTATGCTTTCCAAGTTTGCATTTATTTGATCAAAAATACATTATTATCAATAACATTGTGAAATATTATTACAATTTAAAATAACAGATTAGAATAATTTCCTGGAGTATCAGCTGGAAATTCAGTTTTGCCATCACAGAAATTAATTACTTAAAAATTATATATTAAATATATTAAAATAGAAAATAGTTACTATAAATGTCTATTAATCTACAATAATAATCATTATTACAATATCAAAAGCAATAATATAAAACAATGATTTTGTCATCATATTGTAGCCTTTTAGAGTTTGCAGATTGCTATAGGCTATTAAAGGCAGAGTAAGCGATTTCTGGTAGCCAATGTTGATATTTGAAATCACCAAAACAAACGCCCCTACCCCAAAAGGGTCTTGCACCTATTTTGACTGCACTGAACGCGCTCTCCTCCACATCACGAGTAGACACGCCCCTTATTGCTGATTGGCTACAAGTTTGTTTTGCTATTCGGTCCGAATCAGTTTTCTAAAATGTTTTTGAAAAATCACATACCCTGCCTTTAACGTTATGCGGTTTTTGTGTACATACATGTACATGAGCAGCAGTAAACAGACAAATAAACATAAAAAAGCCATGTCAGATGCAGATTCTGTTCCACCTTTGCAGTGTAAAGATGGGTTTGATTGACTGGTGGCAGTCTATAGTATTGTGACTGATTGTACAGCAGAAAGTTTGAGTGAGAGGTTGAAAAGAAAAATTATTACAAAACATTTTTTGGTTTTTTTGTATTAAATTAAAGAATGCGAAATAGTCTCAGATCTCTCGGTGTATTTTCTTATACATATCTGAATGTAGATGAACTACTGAACTATAAAGCATTGAAATGTTTGTTAATTTATAAATTAAGGTTATTATAAAGTGTTTAACCTTTTATATTGTCCATTAAGGCTTGAGATCAAGCTTGAGATCATTTTAGCTATATACTGTAACATCAATAAAGGCAATAATCCCATTATATAGAATCAATATTGAAATAATATAGACAAAACCAGCCTAAAGTGGGGAATTCTCACTAATAACCTACTTCAGCATGATTTCCCAAGGCGGAGGCTGCATCCTCAGTCCTCTGTGAGTAAGTGGAGTGCACTGAATGGGATCTGGACTGGGCATCCTCCATGGCACTGTAGTTCTGCTCTATCCAAGCTCGAGTCTTCTACTAGCCATCGCACCTGTTCATGAGAGGCTCCAGTCCATCAACACTCCATATGTGTTAATATCGCGATTACAGAGTCTGCCTATCGATGAACTTCAAAGTGGAAATAACACGAGTACTAGAAAAGAAACCGACTGGTTTATTTAACAGGTTAATCGGATTGTGACAGGACTAAACGCGACGCCTGGGCCATATGGTGCTTTATCAGACTGAAGAGCGCGTGGCATATGGTCTCTGTTTATAAGGCTGTAGTAAATCACTCACGGAATAGCATTACTGACATCACAGTGTTTAGTCCAGGTATTCTTATTTACAGCATCGTCTATAGTAAAAGATTGATTTCCTTCCTTGTTTCGTGACGATTGTCCTGGTATCTTTTTTTGTTTGTTTGTTTTTTTGTGATCAAGACTTTGCCTTTTCTCTGTGATGATTATAATTTTTGTTATGATATATCAATTACCTGACATGAAATAATAAAACAATCATGGCTTCAAACCTGCCAAATCATATCTCATGCGGAAATATAAGTTCCATCAACACTCCATATGTGTTAATATCGCGATTACAGAGTCTGCCTATCGATGAACTTCAAAGTGGAAATAACACGAGTACTAGAAAAGAAACCGACTGGTTTATTTAACAGGTTAATCGGATTGTGACAGGACTAAACGCGACGCCTGGGCCATATGGTGCTTTATCAGACTGAAGAGCGCGTGGCATATGGTCTCTGTTTATATGTATGTAGTAAATCACTCACGGAATAGCATTACTGACATCACAGTGTTTAGTCCAGGTATTCTTATTTACAGCATCGTCTATAGTAAAAGATTGATTTCCTTCCTTGTTTCGTGACGATTGTCCTGGTATCTTTTTTTGTTTGTTTGTTTTTTTGTGATCAAGACTTTATGATATATCAATTACCTGACATGAAATAATAAAACAATCATGGCTTCAAACCTGCCAAATCATATCTCATGCGGAAATATCTGTAAGTTTGACCATCTGCAAGTGACTGACCGACATGTGCTAAGGTCTACACATACAAAAAAATAAAAAATAAATACTGAAAATATACGCGCTTGATCCCAGAATGCGCGGACAGATTTAAACGGCTAATCTTTTATGCGGTAGAAGAATCCGGAAGTGTGAGTGAAGACTGGAAGATCGTTTTACCGGTACGTCCAGCCCTAATAATAAAATGGTCCAATCCGGTCCAAGCTGTGCTATTTTCCCAACCCCTCTTCTGTCAAGTCCCACCTCCTGTAGAGTGATTGGCTAGATCTACCAGCAACTGACCAATCACAAGACGTCGGCAAGATACTTGTGTGTTTATCATGATCCTATAATCATGAGACATCCACAATAGTGATGGGAAGTTCGGCTCTTTTCAAAGATTCGGCTCGGCTCCCTTAGAAGAGCCGGCTTTTACGGCTCCCAAATGGCTCTTTATTTAGTATCACTCTGAGCCTTCTATTTTAGCCCAATTTAGCAATTGTGAATGGTTTGTGTGTTGGTAAGCAATTATTTATTCAGTGTTTTCATAAAAGCCTTATATATTTTTATGCATTTTTTTTTCGTTACCAAAAAAATACAGATACTATTATTTAACATTTTAATAAAATTTTAATTGAACACAGAACCACAGCAAACAAATACATAAAGGCAAAAGTCTTAACATTAAGACACTTTAGTCTTTAGTGCAGGTTGACATTCAGAAATATCAGATGCCTCAGCTTGGATGGGCTGATGCGATTTCTCCTCGCTGTGATTATTTGTCCTGTTTTTGAGAAGACTCTCTCTGAGGGGACCGATGTTGCAACAATGCAGTGTCTTCCTACCATTACCTTAACCAACGCGCTTGCGTTTAAAGGGGTCATATGATGCGATTTAAAATTTCCTTTCTCTTTGGAGTGTTACAAGCTCTTGGTGCATAAAGAAGATCTGTAAAGTTGCAAAGACTAAAGTCTCAAATCCAAAGAGATATTCTTTATAAAAGTTAAGAGTATGAGCCTACCTAAAACGGCTCGTTCTAACACGCCCCCACGTCTACGTCACCCGATGTGCGAAGATTTGCATAACACCGCCCAAATGTTCACACAAAGAAAGAAGGAGTAACTTTTATTCTCGCTGTAATATTGAAAAGTGAAAAGTGAAAAAGTGAAAAGTGACGTGACATGTGGCCAAGTATGGTGACCCATACTC